AGGGGAACACTTCTTGAGGCTGGCTGAAAATATAAAGCACCAAAAAATTAGTGTAGACTATTATTTGATCACGTAGATACCGGACCATACTCACACCTTCACAAACTAGTATCGCTCCAAACACGTCCACCTGGCGGGCGGTCACTCCCACGTGAAATTATGGATAAACACGCTCACGGCCAGTCGAAAGGATAGCCGGGGACGAATGAAAGTCCCGACGAAGAACAGATGACATGAAGTAGACAATATAGCAACTTCTAAGGTCCAAAAGCGGCTTGCAGAACCGGAGGAGCCGTAGCCCCCGAGGTGATGGACAAGTAATGGGGGACACCTTAAAACTCGTAGACCTACTGTACACTGTCCCAAAAAGGGGTCAAAGAGAAGAAACACAGAGGGAATTGCAGCTGTGTACCGGCTTTCTCAAAAGGAGTAAGCTAATTTATTTCAGCGGCCAGTCACAACGAATACTAGCCATCTGCACAGGACAGGATCAACACGCACGAGTGTGTTAATAAGTGCGCATACACAGGTGCATTACCCATTTGCTCACTCTCATTTTTATATGGGATGGCAATACAACACGACCGGAGAGAGTATTATGAACAAGTTCAAAACAATAAATAAACATGATAATATTACATTTAGCTTTTGCACTGATTCACTGATACTTCTATCTTGACAACAGAGTCATTGAATACTTCTCCAACTGGAATAAACCAATTTGGACGTACTAAGGGTCGCTCGACATTTGACGCCGGTGTTGAGCTTATGAAATATATAATAACTTAATGCCTGGGACAATACACAAGATGCCTGAGGTATTTTTGTAATCTTTTCAAGGCTTTCTATTGTGTTCATCATGAGACATCAATCAGGAAACTACAACAGGAAGGTGTAAAAAATTTGGCGCTTAGACTTATTATTTCATATTTAAGTAACAGAACTCAAAAAGTCGTGATCAATGGTAAAGGTTCCTCCGGATCTGTAGTATCAATTGGCGTTCCTCAGAGCTCGATTCTTGGCCCGTTCCTGTTCTTAATCTATATTAATGACTTACCTTAACTTGTAGGGGCCAATCGCAAGATAGTATTATGTGCTGTAGATACCTCTTTAATTTTCAAACTCAAACGGCAGTGAGTTAATTACGACGATGTATATAATGCTCTATCGAAATAAGTACATTGGTTTAACGCCAACAGTTGTTCTTAAACGGCAATAGCACAAAATGTTTTAAATTTACAATACCTAATGTAAAACATTCGAATACCAACGTGCTCTTAAATGGGGAGGAGTGGAGTCTTGTGGATACCACTGTTTTTCTTAGTATTACTATTGACGCGAAACTTCAATGGGGCCCCCATTGAAGTTATATATCTAAATTTGCAATCAGACTTAGTTCTGCAGCATATGCTGTAAGAAAGATTAGAAGTCTCACAGATGTTAAGACAGCTAGATTAGTGTATTTTAGTTACTTTCATAGCGTAATGTCCAAATGGTGAGAAGCACACTGAACCTAAACGTTAAGTTGGAGACGCCACGTCTAATGAAGTCAAAGCTCCGTCCCCCTCGTGCTCTAATCCAGAGTCCCAAAACCTTTCAGCTTGAGCTACAAAACCATTTTCAGAGCCTGGAATATTTCAATGCAGTGGACAATATGGGGTCGGAGCTAAGTTTTGCAAGACATACCGCAGAAGAACACAAAAACTCTACGATCACACTCTTAATCTCATGCCTGTTAGATGGGAAATGAAGTTGAAGGCTTCAGCAGGTTTGGCAGCGTACAGGCTACTGAACATACAGCTCTCCAAATGCATGCAGCAAGACTTACGCAACTTTAATAATGTTCGTATTAAATAAGTGATCGAGCGGAACCCGGGCTCCAAAATATTTGCTAGAGATATATCTGCCAGAAAGAGCCAGATGTCGAAGCTGAAAACCGAGTTTGTCAGCGTCGTTTCCGAGACACCTGTGATTTAGAGTGAGATTGAGAGGTTATTTGGACAGCTGAACACATCATAGTTGCATCCACACGCAAGTGTGAATAAAAATCCAAGAGTAATTCTTATCCGACACAATTCTGATGATATTCCGGACTTCAGTCTGAGCGAGATTAGAATGGTTCTCCAGCACTTTAAAAACGGTAAGGCCTCAGGCTTCTGAAAGCGGATGGAAACCAGTAGTTGAAGTCGCTCAGAAGCTCTTTAATTCCGTTCTCCTTGGTGGTACTGCACCGGAGGTGTGGAACAGAAGTGCGGTGATCTTGTTCTTCAACAAAGGCGACAACGCTCTCTTAAAGAACTAAAAACCGATTTCCCTTCTGAGCCGCGTCTACATGCTGTTTTTGGGAGTCATTACGAATCGTCTCGCGCGCAGACTTGACGACTTCCATCCTCGCGAACAAGCCGATTTCCGAAAGTGCTTTAGCACCATAGACCACATACACACCCTTCGGCAAATTGTATAGAAGACTGAAGAATACAATCCGCCACTTTGCCAAACGAATGTGAACTATGAGAAAGCCTTTGATTCCGTCAAAATTTGGGCTGTGCTGCAGTCGCTTTAGCGGTGCCATGTAGACTGTCGGTATATCGAAGTGCTTGTGCAGTAGGGCTACGATGGCTATCCGGATACAGAACTAGAGTACGGAGCCTATCCAACTGCAGAGAGGTGTAAGACAGGGTGACGTTATATCACCGCTGCATTGAAAGACGATTTCAAGCTAGATACAAATTCAATTTAAATATTTAATAATTAAAAAATTCAAACAAGATACGGTATTAATATCAACGGCAAGTACATCACTTAACTTCGATTTTTCGACGATATAGTCCTTATGGCAGAATCGCTGGGAGGACCTCAGAACTATGCTCAATGACCTCAATAGTGTTTCCCAACGAATAGGTCTTAAGATGAACATGAACAAAACGAAAATTTTCTATGTCACATCCACGCCGGTATTCGTTGGGAGCACTAAGCTCAAAGTTATTGACGAGTATGTTTACCTAGGGCAAATAATCCTACTAGGATAGTCCTAATTCGACCGAGAGGTCGACCGACGGATTCAACTCAGCTGGGTTGCGTTTGTGAGAGATTATTTTAATACTTGAGGAAGATATAAAAAATTAAAGCAGTCTCAGCTCGATCTCGGTGTTTGATTGCCGCGTCCCCATGTTGAGATGGCGCAGTCGGAAAAGTAAATAAGTTTATTAAGTATATTACATGTTAATTCGAATAGTGTTTAGTTAATAACATTTAATAATTATGGAAGGTGTCTTAAGTCCACCAAAACCATTTCGTTTCGACGGGAGTTCAGACTACGCAAATATAAGTGCCAGTTGGACAAAATGGAGGAATAGCTATGAAATTTATACAAAGGCATGTGAAATAACGAACAAAGCGGCGAGTGTGCAAATTAATATATTATTGCACGTACTTGGCGATCAATGCCGAGAAATCCTAGACCAAAACAAAGATTCACTTTTAAAATGCACTACCGCGGAAGCTGTCTTACAAATATTGGATGGACATTTTAATATAAAACCTAATGTTACAGTGGAACGACACCGATTTTTTACAAAGAACCAGAGAGAAAATGAGACAATAGAACAATATGTTTTCGACTTGCAGAAATTGGCTCAAACATGCGATTTCGGGGCCTTAAGCGACGGTCTTATAAAAGATAGGCTGTTATGTGGCGTATCCAATTCAGCTATTCGGGAACGGCTACTAACGGAGTACTATCTAACTTTAAGTAAAGCATTAGAAATATGTCGAGTCGCGATAGTATCGAGGGTGTATGCGGATAACATTAAACAGGAGCAGTTATCAGCATTCTTAACCAACAATAATAATCAAGCGGTCGAAAATGATGAGAATATTTGGAGTGTGCGGCACAGGAAAGATTCAAGGAGAGGATATCGCGGTGGCGTATGTGGCGTGAGCGCGGACGCGCGCATCGGCGGACGGGCCGTACGCGGCGGCGCGTCCCGCTCGGCCCAGCGCCCGCCACGGTGCGCTCGAGGCGAGCGTGCCTTCACGGGTTCGACGCTTTGGGTGAAGCAATGTGGGCATTGTGGCAGTGTACATAAAAAGTTTGAGTGTCCCGCGTATCGCAAGCAGTGTCTTAGATGTGCGAAAATGAATCACTTTGCCAGAGTCTGTGGTGCTAGTGTATTCAATGTCGAGGAGTCTGATGTGCAGGTAATACATACTGTAAAATCTAGTAGTGAGTGGAATGTTAACCTAATGATTAATAATAAGTCTATTAATTTTAAATTAGATACTGGGGCAGATGTTAATATATTGCCGTTGTATTATTTGCCACAAATTGGGGTCTCGGATAAAGATTTGCTAAAAACAAATCCCAAGTTATCTGGCTACTCGGGCACTGCCATAAAAGTAGTAGGAAAAATCACTTTAAAGGTTTATTACAAAAGTACATGCTAGAATTTAAAATAGCGGATGTTAAGTCTATGCCGGTCTTGGGCAGGTTTGCGTGCAGTGAGTTGGATATGGTGAGACGCGTGATGTCGATACAGGAGGATAGCGGAGTTCCCTCATTTTTAGGGCAGTACGACGACGTTTTTCAGGGTATAGGGTGCTTACCGGGGAAATACAGAATAAAATTATATGAAAATGTTGTACCGATTGTTCATGCTCCTAGGAAACTACCGTTCGCGATTAGAGACAAAGTTAAGATGAAATTGGAAGAGATGGAAACACAAGGCATTATAGCCAAAGTAGAGGGCGCATTGGATTGGATTAAAAAGCTAATGGAGACATACGAGTTTTTCTTGATCCGAAGGAATTAAATAGCGAGATCAAAAGAGAATATTTTAGGTTACCGTCACTCGACGAGATTGTATCAAAACTTTCAGGTGCTAGGTATTTCAGTACTCTGGATGCGGTAGCAGGGTTCTTGCAGGTGGCTTTAGACGATACTAGCGAGTTGTGCACGTTCAACACTCCCTTTGGACGTTACAAATTCTTAAGGTTACCCTATGGCATATGCTCGGCACCAGAGGTGTTTCATAAAAAAAATATACGAAAATTTTGATGACTTAGATGGAGTTTGTACTTACGACGACTTATTAATATACGGTAGCAGCAAAAAAGAACATGATGAAAGATTAAAATTAGTATTGGACAGGTGCAGGAAAGTCAACCTCAAATTAAATAAAAATAAGTGCAAATTTGGGTTAGAAGAAATCAGGTATTTGGGACACAGGATTACAAAGAAGGGACTTTATCCGGATAACTCGCACATTACAGCAATTACGAACATGCCTAAACCTAGAAATAAAAAGGATGTAGAGCGATTACTAGGACTAATTACTTACGTGGGTGCTTTTATACCAAATTTATCTGATAAGACATTGTTGTTGAGAGAGTTGTTAAAAAAAGAAACGGAATGGCACTGGGATGAACGACATGACGAGTGTTTAAAAGTTATAAAACAGTGTTTATCAAAACCACCAGTGTTAAGATATTACGACTTAGACCTCCCTATTACTATCTCAGTAGATGCGAACAAAAGCGGCTTAGGTGCCTGTCTAATGCAAAATGGAATGCCAGGTTGTTATGCGTCTAAGTCATTGTCAAAAGCAGAACAGCGATATGCTCAGATAGAGAAGGAGTTACACGCTTGCGTTTTTGCTTGTGAGAGGTTTCATGCGTACATTTACGGAAGAACAGATGTCGTGATCGAAACTGATCACAAGCCACTCGTTAGCATTATAAAGAAACCAATAGTGGACTCACCATCGCGCCTACAACGGATGTTATTGAAATAACAACGCTATACATTCAAATTAGTCTACAAGGCCGGTATACATCTATTTATTGCTGACGCGTTGTCACGGGCATACGAGCCCGAGCCGGCGTTGAGTGCGCAGGTTTCCAGCGCTGACTATACACAGCACGATGAAGTTTGCGCGATCACAAGAGATATGGCACTGAGCGCAGCGACTGAAGTTACGGACTTGCAGTTTATTAAGTTGCAAAAGAGTTCAGAAAATGATGATGAACTCGCGTTGTTGAGGAAATACATAACAGAAGGGTGGCCTGCAAACAAACATGACGTCATAGATTTGGTAAAGCCATATTGGGGCTATAAAGAGCATTTATCGATCGCGTATGGTCTAGTCTGGAAGGATCAAAGGATAGTGGTGCCAAAACTCTTAAGAAAAGATTTGTTAAAAAAGATACACGTCGGTCATGTAGGGTTGCAAAAATGTCAATTGTGGGCAAGGGAGACAATATTTTGGCCGGGAATAAATAACGATTTAAAAAATTTGATATCTAATTGTAGTATATGCCTGACGAACAGGAAACACAACCAAAAGGAAGAAATGCAACCTTACGAAATTCCCGACCGACCGTGGGCAAAAACAGGTACAGATCTATTTCAAATAAAAGGTGTGGATTATTTATTATTAGTCGATTACTATAGCAAATTTTTTGAAATAGAGAAATTACAATGTACAACTTCAGCGAGTATAATTGAAACCCTAAAAAACATATTTAGTCGTCAGAGTATACCGAACGTAGTCATGTCTGATTGTGGTCCACAGTTTTCATCAACCCTGTTTAGACAGTTTTCGTTAGAATGGAATTTCAAACACATAACCTCATCGCCACGATGTCCGCAATCTAACGGACAAATTGAGCGAATGGTACAAACTATAAAAAACATAATACTTAAAAGTAAAGAAGATAGAGTTGATTATCGATTGGCTTTACTAGAGTATCTTAACACACCTTTAAAAAATGATATTTCATCACCAGCTGAGTTATTGCAAAGTAGGAAATTCAGAAGTATGTTACCAGTTAGATTACACTTTAAAACCAAAATTACAAAAGAATGTACATAATAAATTAGTCATGAGGCAAAATAATCAAAAATACTACTACGACCAACATACGCGAAATCTAGACCAATTAAGTAACGGACAAAAAGTAAGGGTACTACTAGATGTAAACCAAAGAGAATGGTTATCAGGGACAATATTGTGTCAGCTGCGATATCTTTCATATAAAATAAAATTAGCAAACGGGAGCATTATTATACGTAACATACGCTATATTATTAAAGATTCTCCACATAGACAGGACGCGCCGCACTATACTTTAAACAATTACGATGATGTCCGACCTCACTGCCCGCAAAACAATCAAGCTTCCAACTGTACTATACCTTCTGAAGCCTCACCTAATACAGTAAACAACAATAATTATTATGTCACACGTTCCGGCAGGACAGTGAGGCCACCGGATAGATTGGGCTTCGAACACTGAACAGCGGTGATGAACAGCTGCGCAGCTGCGTCGCCACAGTCACCGTGTTCAGTGAAAACAAAACTAAATTATAGCGTACGCTTAAATAACGAAAATAAAGTAAGTAAAAAAAAAATTTAAACTATCAAAACCCGGCATGATGTTATTTTTTGTTTGTTTAAGCTGCACAGCATGCACGTTTATTACACCAAAGGTCCCAGGTTCGATTCCTGACTGGAGTTATAATTTTTGTTAGTTGGTGTATAATTTTAGATTTATTACTTAAGAAATGAAATAAATGTAATTGATTTATTAATTTAAAAATAAAATAAGTATTACTAATAAAAAAAGAAAAGAAATTGATCGGATTAAAAAAAAAGAATAATAATTTAATTTAAGTAAATAAATGAACATTTCATACTATACATACACATATTGTAATGCCAGTGATTTCATAATTGATTTTTCTTATTTGTAAGAGAGGGGAAGATGAGTAGTTAGAGAGATATAATTCATAATAATGTATTATTAATCAGAATAACTTACTAATTTAATATACATATGTAATATTATTTAAATTATTATTTTATAGTGAAAATACCTATCAATTGTCTTACTATTTTTGTGATAAAAATATGCAAGAGTAATATTCCATTTTAATTTTGTTCCTTATCATTAAGAAGGGAGATGTGAGAGATTATTATAATACTTGAGGGTGGATATGAAAGTCTCAGCTCGATCTCGGTGTTTGATTGCCGCGTCCACATGTTGACAGCGTTCGGGAAATTATGGCACGTCTTCTCGTCAGGTATACTTCACAACTTGAAAATGAAACTGTACGACCACTGCGTGTTGCCAGTGATGACATACGGAACTCAGACGTGGTCCTTTACAGTTGGCCGGATGAGGAAGCTCAAGGTCGCTCAGCGAGCTATGGAGAGGGCTATGATCGGGGTGTCTCTGCGTGATAAACTTGGAAATGAGGATATCCGCAGTAGAACCAGAGTAACCGACATAGCCCAACGGATTAGTAAGCTGAAGTGGCAGTGGGCCGGCCATATAGCTCGAAGAACCAACAACCGACGTAGCAATCAGGTTCTCGAGTGGTGGCCTCGTACCGGTGGACGAAGTGTTGAGCGTCCTCCACTAGATGGAGTGACGACCTGGTAAGACAAGTCGATGGATACAGGTGGCTCAGGACCATGCTTTTTGGCATTCCATGAGGGAGACCTATGTTCAGTAGTGGACTTGTGGAGAGCTGTAATGATGATGATGTTGATGATGTCTACATTTGACTTTTTCCTAACTGAGATAGAAGGTGACTTGTGCGAAGTGGGGGAAATGGCAAGTTCCGTTAAAAACTGTTTGTAGGGACGAGCTTATTACGTGAGATTATAAATGGAAGTGCTTTCAATGTGAAATCTCCACTTTAAAATTTCAGAAACATTTTTCGGGAATACGGGCAATTTTACAGGTGCAAATTATATTATATTTTCTACTTAAATTTTACAAATACGTGATTAAAAAAGTATGCACGAGTGTTTACATTAAATGATTAATATATAAAGAAACCTTAATGACCTTGACGAAACTGCAAACTGAGAGATTTTAGCCGACGTCAACTTTGTCTAACAGCTACGCTCTATACTACTTAGACAAGTGCAAAGATTAAAAAATATATAAGTGATATACTGCCTATTATGTTTGTGCATCACTGAGAGTCATATTGATCGTCTTCAATCCGATTCACGATGTGCTGCTTGTAGCTTCGACCGGTGGGCATCACGATCCAGCAAGTATTAACTGTTTAAATTTTAAGTACGTAAGTGTTTTTATTGTAATAGGTCCTTACATATGAAATTATCGTTTTGTCGCACTGACCACTTTGATCTGAAATATCTCCTATATGGTTAGGAATTCCAAATTCAAATTTATAAATTCATTTAGCTGGTACATTTGAGTTTTGAAAACAGTCATTCATTTGTTTTCTCTAACTCTCAGTGACGACAATATTTTTTCCAAGTCTTGAGCCAATTTATAAGTTGGTGAATTGCCTTACTATGGGACGTAGTGGGCCGTTTGGTTTGTGTAGTTTCGGTAACCCATACAACCTCGGTGGTTTGAAACATGATGGTATTGTCGAATTCACGTCGAGATTTATTTTTTCGGAGTATTTCTTTATTAAGTCGATAGTTGTTTTGAGTGTTTTAGTTGTAGGGTCTGTTTTGACCTTTTTGTATTTAGTACTTACGTCCGATAAAAGTTGTTGTATTTTGAAATTATACTCCGACCATCCGACAAGTGTCACATCCCTCTATAAGATGCAGGAGTGTACAAGCTGGATAGTGAATGTGGTCTCTCTTACATAGGACAAATAGAATAGAATAGAATAGAATAGAACGATTTTTATTCAATATGGATTATTACATAATACTTATTGAAAGTCATTATTTTATTTACCACTGGTTCGGAAAATACCTCTGTCCTGGGAAGAACCAGCAAGAAACCCAGCGGGACTTTTTTTTTAAACATAATTTCACTTAACAATAATTTTGATTATACAATTTTAAATGAATTTTCATAGAACCAGCATGGTGGCGATCACCTTATTCCCAGGGGTTATTTTCATTCATGTATTCCTTGATATTATAATAACCCTTTTTGTACAGTTTTTCTTTAATAAAACTTTTAAACTTGTTTATTGACAAACTTTGAACATGTTCTGGGATTCTGTTGTAAAAGCGTATACATTGCCCCATAAATGAATTACTAATTCTGTGGAGTCTTGTAAGTGGCATTACAAGCTTATGTTTGTTCCTAGTGTTTAAGGTATGAACATCCTTATTCTTATTAAAGCTATTTATGTTTTTATGTACATACATTACATTTTCATAAATATATTGCGATGCCAAAGTTAATATGTTTATTTCTTTAAATTTTTCTCTAAGGGACTCTTTACAATTTAGATTATAAATCGCCCGTACGGCTCTCTTTTGCAAAACAAATATAGCCTCAATATCAGTCGCATTACCCCATAGCAAAATTCCATAAGACATTACGCTATGAAAGTAACTAAAATACACTAACCTAGCTGTCTCAACATCTGTGAGACTTCTAATCTTTCTTACAGCATATGCTGCAGAACTAAGTCTGCTTGCTAATTTAGATATATGGGGGCCCCATTGAAGTTTCGCGTCAATAGTTATACCGAGAAAAACAGTGGTATCCACAAGACTCAACTCCTCCCCATTTAAGAGCACATTGGTTTTCGAATGCTTTACATTAGGTATTGTAACAAAAAGATCTATTAAAACCCGCGTGAAAGAACATATAGCTGACTTGAAGCACCGACTTTCCGGGAAGTCTGCAGTCTGTGAACATGTTCTAGATCGTCCCCGCCATTAAATTTGATTTGACAAACCACAAATCCTCGCAAAAAAACACCGATTCCTACCAAGGATGATTTGCGAGGCTATTGAAATTAAAAAACATCCTAATTTCAATAGAGAAGATGGAT